AGCGTATCCGCTGTTGGGGAATATACAAATAGAGACCGCCAGAGACAGAGAGAGAGAAAGGCAAAGAGCGAGAGAGAGAGAGAGACGACCGATCAGTACATCCCGAAAAATTAACGATAGAAATATGTACACATCGCCGAGATCGATAGCGGAAACAAGGTGGGCTCGGTAGGGAGGTAAACGGAAGGATCACAAGATGTCGCATTCATGTACGCATGCATGTGCATACATACCTACACATGCATGTACGTATATGTGTACGTACGTAGGTAGGAATGAGTACACACACGTGCATGCATACATACAAGCATACATACGTACATACATATGTATGTGTGTATACATACACACACACACACGTACATACATACATACATACATACATACATACATACATACATACATACATGCGCCAGCTTGCACTGCATGAATCATAAGTACACATATACATGCGCGTACAGATATGTATGATATATATATATATGTATACTGTAAGTTTTATGTATGTGTGTATATCTATATACATAAGTATGTGTATATATATATATATACACAGGCACATACACATGTGTAGATATGTATTGCACGATGCAGTTAGTGTTTACAAGAACGAGAATCTTTTCATGTCAGTCCGAAAAGCCAAAACTCCAGCAAGACCCTCGACTCTATCGCCCCCGGAAGTGCAGGAGAGTGGCTGAGCGAAGTGAAGCTGCGCCGAGTGTTGCGAAGAAGGGTTTGCGGGTCATTCAGAGTGCCGGCTTGTCAGGGGTGTAGGGAGCAGGATTTACTAGCTCAGGACCTAAGCTCCAGATCTGTGGGCATGGTATGCGGCTATGCGCAACTTTAGTGGTGCTGGCCCTTGCCACTCGCATGGATCAATGGTGTGCCCTTTCTCGGAGCCCGCGCTCTCTCCTGTGCCTCTTGCCCTGCATGCTTTCAGCTTTGCAAGGATAGCCTCTGTGTCAGGTATATCGAACCGTCCTGGGTAATCTCGGAGACCTATACATGATGGAAAACTTCACCGACTCGATGTCGTCTTGTTCACTTGATCAGAGGGTTCGCGAAGAGGAGCACCTAGGGAGACGGGAACTCGAGCTGAAAAGGCGGGTTTAGGGTTTAGGGTTTAGGGTCTAGGGTAGGTAGTTATAATTAGGTGTATCATGGAGTTTGGTGTTTAGGCCCTAAGGCTTTATGGTAATTGTAAGTGGGTTTTAAGGAGGCCCGACGATCGAATCAAGACAAGGCTGTGCATTGATCAGTTGCTTGTCCAGTAACGTACCCTAAACCCTAAACCCTAAACCCTAACCTAGGGCAACTACAGGAGTGTAGGGATATGGGAACCTTTGTGATCCTTTGTGGTTATCTAGAGGTGGTTTAGGGTCTAGGTTTACCTACGCTACTACTTCGATCAGCTGTCACGGCGGGTGCTGGCGAGTCTATGCGTCTATGACCAACATCCCCAACTCCCACCGTAAGGGTCCATGTACCCAAATAGTATATACTTTGGCCTTAAAGTAGTCCCTATATAGGTACTTTGGGGCCAAAGTATGTACTATATGGGCACATGGACCCTTAGGGCCAAGCAGCTGAATCCTCTTCCAAGGCTCCACACGACCGTTGTGGAACCCTAATTACGTACAGCAACAGAAACTGCAACTACTAACTAATGGTGCCAGTAAACATATAGTTCACTAGAAACACTTACAACAACCTTTAGTTGCAGGAATATTCATAAAAATAAACCCTAAACCCTAAACCTTAAACCCTAAAGACCTAAACCCTAAAAACCCCAAATTCAAACCCATCCTCACAGAAAGTCTACGTCGGCTTGGGCTGGGCACCAGCGCAATCACGAGGCCGTAGATGGTCAAAGACTCCATGAAGGCCAAGGAGAGGAGCCTTGCTGTTTGGGGTTTAGGGTTTAGGTTTAGGGCCTTGCTGTTTCGGATTCAGGGTTTAGGGTTTAGGGTCTGGGGTTTAGGGCCTTGCAATTTCGGATTTAGGATTTAGGGTTTAGGGTTTAGGGCCTCGCTGTTTCGGACTTATGGGCTTACTGTTGGGGCCTGAATAATTAGAATTAGGGATTTAGGGTTATAGGGTATAGGGTTCGGGGGCCTTAATAATTAGAATAGGGCTTTAAGGGGTTCCTTAGTATAACTGTAGCA